AAAGAAAGAAAGAAAGAAAGAAAGAAAGAAAGAAAGAAAGAAAGAAAGAAAGAAAGAAAGAAAGAAAGAGAGAAAGAAAGAAAGAAAAAAAAAAGAAGGTAGGTCAGTGTTTTCGTTTGATTCTGTAGGTACTCAGCGGGGAGGAGGGTGAGCCTTTTCATATGCAGAATTTACCTGTTGGATGAGGTTCACTCACAGGAGACAGGATGAGCTGTTTCACTCTGCCTACTGATCTGAATATTAATATCATCCAAAAAGCATCTTCACAAAATGTTTGCCCAGATTTCTGAGTGCCCCATGGCTCAATGGAGACATAAAATCACCCATCACATTAACTTCCTTCTAAATTTTGATATTAACATCTTTATGTATAAAAGTATGTTGGTCTAAATTATGTTCCATTACCCAACATTACACGCTGGAACTTCTGAAGCCCTTCCTGTAACAATTTCCTTTTGTTTGCTCTATGATTTGTGAGAAAGGTGCCAGGACAAAGCTGAGGCTGGCCTGAAACCTGCTATGTATCCTGGGATGACCCTGAACTCCCCATGGTCCTCCTATCACAGACGAAGTGTTTGGGAAAAGAAAGGAGGTCAATAATTTTCAAAAAATTCTAAAGTGTCTGTTATCTCTACATTGTAAGAATTATGAGGCTCAGATAATCCACAGGTAGCTGTTTTCTCTCTATTGTTATACCATCTTATTTTACAAAGTTAGATCACTGCATTACCTTCTTTTTTAATTAGATATAAACACAAGAATTTTTAGAATAGCCTAAAGGTAAACATTTGACTCCAAGGATTCATTGCATCATTTATTCACGACTCTGACAGAAACCATGTGATTTCCTCATCTAACTTTCTAGATGGTGAAACAGACAGCCCTGCATTCCAACATGTTTAATAATTGACTAATATAAAGGGAGGGGGAAGAAAAAGACACACTTTGATATGAAGAGATGACATTTAAAATCCTAACTTCTAAAATGGCTTTACAATATTTTTCAGTATCTATGAGTATCTTCTTTGCTAAAACTGCCATTTTAATTGTAACTGTTTTACTGCCTAGAGGGTTTCATCATGTTTTCATGATTTAGATGCCTCATTTTACAGAGAATGAAGCTCTTCATGTTTTCTATAAGCATATATCAGAAAGTTCTACTACCTAATTGTAGAATTACTTAAATATCATTTATCATTGATTCATTCTTTGTTAGATTGTACTGTCTTAATATATAACAAGTTCAGCCTGGAACATTGATTTACTAGGAGATGAATTCCAAATCATTACAGAATTACTACAAATACTACAACAAATGCTTGTCAAAGGTTATAAGTCTGTGTTCAAATGGATATTCAGTTTCTTGGAGTGGCTAACTTTCATTGAATGTTTCCTATGTGTTGCCCCAGGAATTTTACATGAGTCAGTTCTCATACAAGCTCTGTGAAATAAGTTGTATGGTATCATTTTTTTCAGGCAAGAAAACTAAATTGAAAATAGGTTAAGAAATATATCAAAGATGCAAGATTAAGATGCATAAAATGTGAGGAGTGAGTGGGAAGGGATGCCTAGTCTGTCTGGTAATTTCTTATCAATCATTCTCTAGAGTAGTGCGTCTCAACATTTCTAATGCTATGGCCCTTTAAAACAGTTCCTCATGTTGTGGTGACCCCAACCACAAAATATCTTCATTGCTACTTTATTACTGTAATTTTGCTACTATTATGAATCATAACGTAGATATCTATGTTTTCCAATGGCCTTAGGAGATCCCTGCGAAAGGGTTGTTTGACTCCTGAAAGGGGTCATGACCCACAAGTTGAGAACTGCTGCTTTTGTAGCAATAGTAGAAGAACAGGTCAACCAGAGGGCTTGTCAGGTCATTGTCCACCAGAAGGTTTTTCAGATAATTTTCCACCAGAAGGTGTTTTTAATTCCACAGTATGATGCAAAACTCAACAACAAAATAATTTTTAGAAGGCTTATAATGACTTAGTACACATATGAAGATATTCAGTTTGATATCATGCATGTGTGTGGCTATGTGGCTATGTGTGCATGTGTCATAAATTTAGGAAGGGGATTATGATAGAGGAGAAAGAGACATATTAAGAGAGGGGTAAAAAAAGAATATAACGGAACATAAGTGAAGGAGAAGGGGAATTATTTGGACAAAGGGTGGGAACCAGCCAGAGGGAGGTAAGGGGTTGTCAGTGAGAGAGAGGATGAATAACAACAAAGAATAATGACACACATATATGAACATCATAGCCATCTTAAAAGTTTTAGGTCAACTTATTTGTGGTCAAGAAGTGGCCTTCTTAATCTTGAAGTTCTTTAATCTCTGACATTTCTCTCTTTCTTTTTTTAAATGCATTTTTGGAATACAGACCATTCTTGCCAGGCTTATCTTTTATTTGCAATACATGATAAGACTAAATATTATAAATGGCACTCTACCATGTATTTCTGAAGTTAAAAGTACATAGCCTCTAAGGTATAACAACTTGTAGTTTTTCTGTGATGAACATCTAGGTCCTGGTGAATGTCAGCTTGAGACACTTCCTTCCTCATCACCAGCCACCCCACTGGTAAACAGGGCCCACATATCTTCACCTTGTAAGAGACACTCTTTGGCAACATTTCATACATCACTAAGTGATTCCATCTGCAGTAATAACCACTAAAACTATATCGTTACAAAAGTTGCTAGTTTCCTTGTGCTTGTATATAGTGTGAAGTGGTCATCACAGATCCACAGGAAGGTCTCCACATGGTTTTCCATTGCCTCCCACTCTTTTCACCCATGGCTTTGCTGTCTTTAACATTATGCTCTCAACTGTGTCAGGAGAGCAAAAGGGGAACTGTACATGGGGCCATCCCATGACCAAGCTGAAAGTGAGGCATATCATTCCTGCTCATGCTTCATGGGTTATGGCATGAGCTCAGGCTAATCTAACTTTAAAAGAATCTGGGGAAACATGCATAACTGTGCTTAATTGGAGAGTGGAAATCACAAAACGTGGCAATCTCTCCCATACTCAGAAAATGCCCTCCTTAGAATCCCACAAAATTCTATTCCAGTCTTATTGAGTTTTGCTCCTTTGTAATACATTTTAAAACTCTTGCTAAGTTACAAAATCTAAGTTACCTTGTAGGTAATAAGTTTGTGTCAAAATTCAAATATCTAATGCTTCTGGCAAGTTTTTGGCCAGATATTTAGAAGGGTCTGATTCATTCATATATTAAAACCTTCATTAATGTTTTTCATTAATGTCACCATCTGAATCCAAGTTTCTTTTAAAGTTACATTTTAAATTTAGTTAGTTAGGAAATTGTTCAACATTTAAATATAGCTCTATCAACAGATATTGAGGGAAAGGATAATACAGTGGTAAAATGGGTGAACTCTGAAGAGCAATTTCCAAGACTTGCAAACCCATTTGGAATTGTTCCAAAATACCACAGCCAGAGCTAATAAGCTTCCCAGCTGTGGGGACAAAAGTCTACAGAGGGCTATATCAGAAGAATTTTATTTTTGGTAATGACCAGAGACTACAACTCACCCTTTTGTTTCCTTTTGTGAATGGGAACTCATATTGCAGCTAATCTATCTTCCACGATACAAAGGAGATGAGGTGTGTGTGTGTGTGTGTGTGTGTGTGTGTGTGTGTGTGTGTGTGTGTGTGTGTCTAAGTGGATGTCCTAAGGGTCTTAGAACTTGAATTAGATGCAATTACTGGATAGTCTGCATCATGGTTTTGTAAAGTATTGAGTACACATTTATGGGATGGATGAAATGAGTATCTAGTGTTCAGGGAAGTAAAATTTAACAAAGGTTAGCTACTGTCCACCAGAGGGGGCCATCTTTCTCCAAAACATCTGGCCAAACTGTGACTGTCCAAGTTCCTTACACTCAGGTATGGCCAACTGTGATTGGAATGGAATATAACCAGAAGTGACCTGCTATCAAGTTTGGCCCTTGATGATCTCAGCTAAAATCATCCCATCTCTCTTCTCCTGGCAAAAACCTTCAAAATCTACAAGGTAAAGTGAGTCAGAACTCTAGGGCAGGACCACATTTTTCTTAAATACTATTTAGAAGAATTTCTGACAGTCATAATAGTCTTAAATTCGTGTAATTAAAAAATGAAATGTACTGTTTGAATTATTTGTAAGTTATACTCATGAATAGATTTACTTTGAAAATAACAAACTGGTGGGGGGACCTTTAAATGTCACATAGTTATTAGCATGTAGTAGATTGCAGTAGATATTATAGAAATGTAAGCACACATGTGTGACAAAACATACATAAATAGCTATACAACTTCTGTTACCTTACTTTGTCTTCTTTATATAATTTTAAAGCTATGAAATGCCATTTTATTTTAATTACAGCTTTGATAAATTAATTCCCCAAAATTAATAAAACATAGGTATTTTATAGTAAATTCCTCATGTCTTCTCAGAGCTAGCTAAAGCATATTATATTTATATTGTCAAATTGAATACAAATAATACAAAAATCAAGTCAATTCTTTCCCATAGGAATTGAGTCTTTAAGTCAGCCATCTTTTAAATCCTCAGGGTCCATCTATAACCTGCTAAAGCAGTCAATGGAAGGAAATGCATCTTCAAAATCCACTTAACATTAACTGCATAGGAAAAGGAAGTCTATCCTGGCACTCTCTCTTATTTATGTCAGATGACATCCATCCTATAGTGCTCAGCAGAATCCAGTGTTCTGTCTTAAGCAATTTTAAGAATTAGGACAATCATCATGCATATGCTGACGTGTGACATACCAACCGATGGATGATTCGGACTTTAATTTTTAATTCTGAGAGCACTCTTAGTTGCTGCTGTGGTGATGAAGAGAGGGAACCTGGCTATAAGGGGCTCCCTCACTAGCCTGGTACTCATGTACCCAGTGCTGAAGCAGAGATCTGACTTTAGGCAGAGCACACAGCCCAAACCTGAGTCACATCCTGTACACACATGACTTCATTGGTTTTGTTGTTGTTGTTTGATTTGGTTCTTTGTTTTGTTTTTTGAGATAGGATCTCACTATGTAGCCCTGGTTGTCCTGGAATTCACTATGTAGCCCAAACTGGCCTCAAACTCAAGAGATCCACGTGCCTCTGCCTCTATAGTGCTGGGATTAAAGGTGTACATCACCATGAACTTAATCATGAGTTCTAAGGGGGTGGGAGGAGTATTGTCTTTTTTTTGGTTTTTCAAGACAGGGTTTCTCTGTGTAGCTTTGGAGCCTGTCCTGAAACTCACTCTGTAGCCCAGGCTGGCCTCAAACTCACAGAGATCCGCCTGCCTCTGCCTCCTGAGTGCTAGGATTAAAGGCGTGCGCCATCACCTCCCAGGGTAGTATTGCTTTTACTTTCACAAAGAAAATGGGGAAAGCAGCATTTAGTTCTTTTTAAAAAGACGAAGTATTGTCAAAGACAATTTGGCTTTGGTTTTCATCTCCTAACAACATACAAACCCACCATTTACATGAAGGAACTGAAGGATGAGGGGAAACCTGAACATGATTACATAGATACTTCAAAAGAGAAAATGTACTTTTCTATGTTCCAACACTTTCCATGAGCTTAGACAGCGACTATGGTAGTTACTGTAAGAGACTGAGAGCTTACAATCTGACAAGGACTGCATAGAGTACTGAACATCAGATGAGGGTCTCGAACCATGGAGTGAAAATTTGAATTTTTCCTTCTCCTTCTCTCCATCCTTATTCCTCTTCTTCCCAAGGTCTTTTGCATCTGCTTTCTCTAACACATTAAGAAAAAATGGTAAATCTTTTTATCTAGAAAACCTCAGACATGCTACATATTCAGCCAGTGTGTCCTAAGAAGGCCAAAACAATGGTACTTAAAATAGAACTTCAGCCTTCATTTCTCCCAAAATGTAATCTCCTCTGATTAGAAATAGCACATTAAGCTAGAGAAAACAATCCTAAAAATTAACATGGGCTGTGAAAACTGGACAGAACTACTTAGTATTATGCATAATAACTAAATTTATTATGCATTGTTTTATGTTGCATGCAGATAGTGACTAGAATGCATTTGTGTGTCTGTGCATAAGTGCCCATGGTGTGAGTGCACATGCATAGGAGGATGCTGGTGTTTAGCCCTCACTTTCTCTGCTATTCCCTTGAGACAGGGTCTCTCTCTCACTGAACTTGGAGCCTACTTTTTTGGCTAGATTATTTGGCTGGTAAACTCTATAAATCCTTTCTCTGCCCCCGACAGTGCGGGGGTTACATGGGCAGCCCCATGCTCTCTATGTGGATGCTGGGGATCCTCAGATCTTCATGCTTTGCCTTAGCCAGGCAGCCATTTCTCTAGTTCCTTGGATAGATTTAATTGATATGTAATTGCAATGTCAGGCTAAGTTTCTCATTTGAAAAATGAAAACAAACAAAAGCAGCAAGACATGCATTGCAAGTTTAGACCTATCTACACAGGGCCGTCTCAATTTGCCCTATTTGGGGATGTTAGCTCAAGCAAATGCCATTTTCTTTCAGTAAAGCATCCTTTTGTGGGGTTGAAAGTCAACCCCACCCACAAACCAACCTCCGGGTTCCAGTGTGTCTTGTGCAATAAACCAACTAGAGAGAGAGCTGTTGCCCCTGTTTGAATGTTCACGCATGAGCATAGTTCTATGAAAAGACTAACTTAGAAAAAGCCAAGAATGTTTTTTTCTGCCCAATGAGTCCCTTCAATTCAGAATGCGAGTTTGGGGTCTCTGCATCAGCTCCTAAGTTTATAACCTTCATTGGTAGCCTATTCATTTTTTTAAAGATATGCAATTGTTAAAAATTATGACTGCAACTACTTATGATGTTCCTTAGCATAGAAAATATACTTGTCTCATGGTGTTTGAAGTAGATTTAAAATGTATGCTAGACATATTATAACCTCAAATATAGGCTAAGATGCTTAACTGAGAAATTTAAGTATTAAAAATTAGGTTAACAGGCTACAATCCACAACCCCAGAGAAACTAGGTAAAAAGGGTGACCCTAAGAGGGACATACAAGGAGGGCCCCAGGAAGGCAAAATAGTTATAACCTCCTGGGTAGACTGGGGGAGGAAGGGGTAGAAGGGAAGAGATGAAGGATTGAAGGATGGGAACAGGAGGGGCTGATGTGGCCAAGTGGAGGAAGGGACAGAGAGGGTGAGCAATGAAAGAGATATCTTGGTAGAGGGAACCATTAGGAGGTTAGGGAGAAACGTGGTGCTAGGGAAAGCCCCAGGAATCCACAAGGATGGCCCCAAGACTACTAGCAGTAATGGAGAGGGTGCCTGAACTTACCTTCTTCTGTAATCAGACTGGTGACTACTCTAATTGTCATGATAGAACCCACGCCCAGTAACTATGGAAGCAGATGCAATGATCCACAACCAAGCACCGGGCTGAGCTCCTAGACTTCAGTTGAAGAGAGGGAGGAGGGACCACAGGAGCAAATGAGGTCAAGATCTTGCTGGGGAAAACCACAGAGACAGCTGACCCAAGTTTGTGGGAGCTCACGGACTCTGGCTTGTCAGCTGGAGAACATTCATGGGACTGAACTAGGCCCTCTGAATGTGGGTTGACAGTTATGTGGTTAGATCTGTTTGGGAAGCCCCTGGCAATGGGACCAGGACTCATCCTGAATGCATGAAATGGCTTTTTGGAACACATTCCCTAGGGTGAGAGACCTTGCTCAGCCTTGACACAGGGGGAGAGGCTTGGTCCTGCATCAACTTAGTGTGCCAGACTTTGTTGACTCCCCAAGGGAGGCCTTACCCTCTCTGAGGAGTAGATGGGGGTGGGATTGGGGGAGGTGAGAGGGCAGGAGAGTGGGAGGGAGGGGGGTCTGGAATTAAATAAATTAAAAAATAAAAAAAAGAATGCAATGGGGGAAAATAGGTTAATAAAACTTTATTTTGTATAAATGTCAACCTAATTTATTAAGCTAATTTTGTGCAGCAAATTGTGATTTCATTTACAATTTTAAAACTGAACTTTACTTTCAAACTATTTAGAATTTGATTTATAATATATCCCATTAAAATATGTAAATAAAATGGCTAATTAAGTCTTTGTCACTAGACTAATATAACTGTCATCTGTCATTTAATTCCATGATTTTGGCAAACCTCAATATAAACAACTTTGCTGAATGTTACTGGACGTTACTCTTCCCTAGTTCCACAAATATCACCACATTGCTATTAAATTTCTACCAAGTCTCCATCTTCCATCTCAACCTCATTCCCAGCTCATGACTGTGCTTCCTAGAACCAGAGAATATTCAAACTTTTGTCAGAAATCCTCAACTACTAGTAAAACCAAGCTGTCTACTTACCTACTGCTATGTCTGTTCACCCCATGTCCCCATGACCTGTGCCTGCACATTAGAACAGAGGAGCAATTGCTCCCCAGGGCTGAGGAGAACTCAACAGCTCTACGGGGTTCCTGGAAATATCCATCTTAAATGAGAGCATTGGTGTCAGTTTCCTGAGAAGGGAGGAAGAACAGAATCCACCACCCACTGGAGGGCCACCTTGTAGAACTGCTGAGTTCTCCCTCGTTAGATTAACAAATACATATTCTGTGTATCTCACCCTAGTGAATATCAGCTTTCATTTTATCACTCTGTTCTTCTTCAAGGCCAAATTTCTCACAGACTTGTCTGTGTATTATATTTCTTCCTGTTTCCTTAACTAACTCTTCCACAGCTTTCCATATGTATTATTCCCAGAGCTAGCTTCCACATCCAACAATCTAATGAAGAAATTGAAGCAGATATCACAGTTTATCTCACTACAGTATTTCATACAGCCTTTCTTATTCTTGAAGGAATGTTCCCTCCTTGGTTTCAATGCTAACACACTTGTCTTTCCTTTCCCCACTTCTCTGGCTACTTTTTTTTTTCTCCTTCATCAGTCAGTCATTGGTACCAATTCTCAGATGTTTACAGTCTCAGGGCTCAGTACCTACTTCTGAGTCCCTGCTGTCTTCTTGAGAAATATTACAGAACACCTGTGAATGCCTCCAAAATAAACAGTTTGGGACCTTTGATCTTCAAGGTATTTCAGATTAAATATGACCAAAATCATTCTGTAGTACTTCCTATTAGATCTCACCATCTATCCAGTTTTACAACTCAAAATTCCATAAATTACCCAAACTGAGTTCTACTCTTTTCTAACTACGTTTAATGTTTTGTTTTTTTTTTTCTTGAATCATTCATCTTATTGGGCTTCTCCACTTTCTCTATTCCAAGAGTCCATCTTATCAAACATGAGTTTATCCAACAGTTTCCAAACTATTTGTTTCCATCTGCCCATAATTTCCTCTCTGATCCTCTCTCAACTCCCTTCCCTCCAAATATTCTTGTTAGTGATGGCCAAAAGCATCTTTTGAAAAGCCAAATTCAATCTTGATTCCCTCCAAACTCTTCACTGCCTGTCAGCAAGTCAGTAATGCTTATAATGAAGACCAGGACCCCTAACATGGCCTTGAACACTCAATCTGCTCACTCCTGCTGTAATCCAGCTCTTCTTAAACCAATTATCCTTTCACTCTGCTTCATCCAAACATATCATGTACCCTGCCCACCAATACACCGCCATCCTCCACATGTTCCCAATCTCTGTGCTGGCATTCTCTTCTGCCACCAGTGTTCTGGTCACAGTTGTATTCATCTGGGTAACTGCCACTCATCTCTGCAGACTACGACAGACCCCTGTACTACCTGCTCTAGCTTCCTGTATTTCCCTTCAAAGTTCATTTTTTCAGTCTCTGGTCAGCATAGCTTCCTTTTTATTAGTCAGTGTTTCCCACTAACCATCAGGTTCAGAAGGTGGGGTGTTCCACATCTGTTTCTGTTTACCAAGATTATCACCCATTCCTAGAAAATTACCAGTACTTTTATCATCCAAGAGTATATTTAGATGAATACTATTGGTTGGAGGCCTGGAGGTTAGTTTGTGAAACATCAAAAAGAAAATTCATTGGGAATATACAGAAAAAAAAAATGAATGCACTCACATTTCTTTATTGCTTATTTTCATCAAGATAGGCCTGGGTGGGTGCACATTGCCCACACCTCTGGTCTTAATATATTTTTGAAGACCTGAAGTAAAATTTTCTGTACAATACAGGGCAAGAAATACTGGCAGATATGATCATTTATTATATTTTTCTTTTCCTTTTTGGAGCTGGGGATTAAGCTTAAGGCCTTGCCTATGCTAGGTAAGTGTTTTACCTCTGAGTTATAACCTTTGGAATCTTAAGACAGGGTTTCCCCATAGCTCACATAGTTGCCCAGACTGGCTACAATTTATGACCTTCCTGTCTCTCTCCCTCCCTGCTTAGAAACAATCTTGATAAAGAATAATCCTGACAAAATGTTAATACTTTATAAAACATAAATATCCGAAGGAATATTTAACCAAAATATACAAAAAAAACCTGAATACTTCCTAGTAGATTTAATTCCACTTTACAAGCAGTTTCTTCATATACATAGGTATAAGATAGTTTAGTAGACACATAATAAATATTATTCAATCAACTTTTCATCTTGAAAATATAAATGACTATACACTTTGTAAATATCATTTGAAATTATTTTTCTTCAGATTTGAACCTCCATCTTATGACACATTTTTAATTTATGTAACCTACGCTCATATCACATTCTCTGAAAAATGACAAGGAAAGTTTTCTACTTTGCTGTGTGGATCCATCTCACTCTGCATATCAATATGAGCAAGATATCTTAGTAGAGATGTATCTTGCCTCTTTCTAATACAGTAGTGATTTAATATTAGCAAAATTGAAAATTGTCTTTGATAATTACTGGAAGGGAAGTATGAGGCAATAATTACCTACATTCCACATCACCGAGAGTTCTAATAGTAAAAGGGAAAGTTAAGCAATAGTAGCAACATTACAAAGGCATCACTAGCCTAAACAAGGACTGTACAGCATCCCTATGCCATGCCCTGCTGCATGACTTCCCACGTCTTACCCTTTGCAGTTTTGTCTGTCTTGTCTGGAGGCTTCAGGGTTGTAAGGGAAGCTTCCGGTTTGAAATCCTTCACGTCTTTCACTTCCTTTCCGTCTTTCACTTCCTTGCCATCCTTTATCTCTTTCCCAGGTTCCTTCAGTTTGTTGTCTACCACTGCCATTTTGCTTTCAGAACTTGGATCTTCTGTGAGCTTAAACTCCGGCAATATTTCCTTCAACAGCTCCCAAACTCTGTCCACATACCCTGGACTTAGAGGCAATATATTGGCATTAATTCCCAGATGATCATTGTCTATGTGATGTCAAGAAGTTACTGACAGACTAGTTAACTTCTTAGTTCATAAGACTAATTTCAATTGTTACTTAAAACTTTTAGCTAGAAATATTGTTCATTGACCATGCTTTTATTGCATTCCTACTATGTGCCAGTCTTTGATGATAGAGAGACCAAAACTAGTGGATCAGTCAAGCTTGGCAGAGGAGACAGATATGCTAAAATCATGATAGGTGAACTATATACACGTCTATATGCTATACACGCATATATACTGCATATGCATATATACTGTTCATCTGTATTTGCCATATGTTGTATATATGCTATCTATGTACAAACACCTTATGTGTTCAAAGGCATCCTCCAGAATTTTCCAATGATATCCTCACCCTCTGAAGATGTGGGAGAATTTTTAACTTGGTATCAAAGGTCTTTAACTATGAGGCTTCTCCCTAGTCCCTATGCCATTGGTCCTCTAGAATTTAGTAGCATATAATCCAGTTTTACACAACCACACATTTTTCTGGGATTATACACTGTCTATCTTAATTCCTTGTTAATCTGTCTGTTCTGAGTTGATTTTCTCACACTAATCTGCTACATTAATTTTAATAAATCTTTTGCAGTCAGTGTAAGCATCCATTTCAGGGATTGGGGCAAGTAAGCTACATGCTTTTGCTTTGATAGCCTGAAGAACTATTTACACATTTTTAGGAAGCCTTTGAAAATACTTTACAAATTTCTAACTCAGCTCATGAATACTGATCGAGGACACACCCTATGACAGTTATTCAGTGTCACTGTGCAGCACAGCAGGCAAAGAATGACTACTGAAGACAACTGTGGACTGAATGGGGGCCTCCAGACCATATCAGCATGACCTATGGAGCAAGCTGTATTAATCTGCCCTCTCAGGATATCTGTTTGCCTTTCCAAGATTGTCACCTGAAGCAGCTCAAGTCTTTTTCCTTTGTCTTGTCATTTTCCTAACAATACATGTTCTCTCCTGAAGATGCTGTACAAGCTTAGGCTCAGGGATATCAGTAAAGTACTTGGATGTCTCCCAGCATATGTGAAATATACCTATCAAAAAGCTATGCTTCCTGCAGAGGGCACAGGGCTGAGCTTGGAGCACAGGACTGACAGGGTCTGCTAAGGCATGAGGGTGAGTGCTGTAGAGGATGAAGTTTCTGTGACACACTGAAGGTATGGGCTCAGGCGTATGCAGCAGGTGTGAGGATGCTCCCACAGAGCAGTGCTGTACAGCTCTCATGCACTTCCAAGATCAGTATCTGAATGGCATTCTGAATTGTGACTGCAAGGACCAGAATTGAAAAAAGGCTTGTCTGTATGACATGGCAGACTTGCCTTTTGTGTACTTGTAGATGTAATACTAAACAGTCTTATTAAATAAACACAAAGCCAAATGCAGAGTTAAAAGCCCAGAGATCAGAGAGCAGTACCCAGGAGCTGAGACCACCTTCTTACCACCCACTGCTGCTGCCATCCTTCCCCTAAGAAAGAGAGCTACTTCCTGTGTGTCTGTATTTTTATTGACTTTCTGTTCTGCCTTCTCATTGGTTGTAAACCCAACCACATGACCTCCTCATCACTGCCTGTCTATACAGACCTCAAGATCTCTATAGTTGGTATTGAGATTAAAGGTGTCACCATGCTGGTGGTGTCCTTGAACATTGCCTGCCATGTGATCAGATTAAGGGCGTGTGTTACCGCTGCCAGACTTCTGCTAAATGGCTTGCTATTAGCTCTGACCCCCAGGCAACTTTATTTATTTATTTATTTATTTATTTATTTATTTATTTATTTATTTGTTTGTTTGTTTGTTTGTTTGTTTGTTTATTGAGACAGGGTTTCTCTCTGTAGCTTTGCACCTCTCCTGGATCTCGCTCTGTAGACCAGGCTGGCCTCGAACTCACAAAGACCCACCTGGCTCTGCCTCCTGAGTGCTGGGATTAAAGGTGTGCACCACCACTGCTGGGCAACTTTATTTATTAACATACAATAAAATCACATTTCAGCACAAATAAAATGTCACCATATGTACTGGGTGCATAAATCTTCCAGATAGATAAGCACAAACGGATTTTGCTTGATTGCTTGTTTTATGATTAGTCTGTCCTTGATTCAACAAAGAATCTAGTGGGTCATTCTGCTTTATAAGGAGGAATAATTTACCCTAAAATGCCGAGGGTTGTGGGAGTATACAGCAGGTGACAACTAGTGTTTGACAAGTCGACTCACCAGATGTGTAACTCCCTGATGGGGAGCCCTACCTGGTAAAGCCATGGGGTCACTGGCTATAAAAACCAGTTGTTCTCTGTAACATTCTCAGGTGCTACTGCTATGCGTCCTTAAAAAGAACAGCTGTGGGGTGCTTTCCACAGCCCTTTGGTAGTATGTTTTCCATCTTTGGGCACACTTATAGTTGTGGATGATCGGGTTATACTTTCTGTCTAAGCTGTATAATTCTGATGTACAGAAATATTACCAGAATATTCTTCTTTACTGACACAGGGAAGAAACAATATTCTCAGTCTTAAAGACAGCCTTTACACATTTTACAAAGACCTTAGAACAAATCCAAAACAGACTAAGCTGCCCCTACAGAGAATACACAAAGACTAAATCCCAGGTTGTTGTTTATTACTAAATCAAGGCCAGGCTGTTTACATCAAGACATAGTCCTTGCAGTAGCTCCCTTTCTGCACATACGCTGACCACTCAAGGTTCAGCCAGTTGTTTACTGTCAGGAAACCCTCACCCACTTAGAGTTACATGCATGGGTCGATGTGGTATCACTAGCCTAAGAGAAACTATGTGACTTATCCTGTGTTTTGAGAATGGGTAGAGCCCTGAAAATGTAACTTATAATTGTCCAGATTTTGGCTGTAGAACAGAGCAGGGGGATGTGGAGAGAGGGGCCAAAGAGGAACAGCAAAGGAGAGCAGGGCAGCAGAGGTGCAGTGAGAGAGAGAGCAGAGGAAGGATGCAGAGAGAGAGATGTGGAGGCAGTGAAAGGGTAGAGACGATGCTCAGCGGAGAATGAGAAGGATGAAGAGCTAATTAAGAAGCTGTGAAGAGAGATTTCTCAGAGAGATTTTTCAAGATGAAGTGAAGAGAAGGTTCCCATCAGAAAGTGTCTGTGTTTATTTTTTCTCCTCAGACAGAAAAGGTCTAACTCTCAGATCTTGTTGCTACCCTGGAGCAAAATGCGAGTTGGTCTCTTGGTCTATGATACTAAAACTCCCAGGGAATTCTAAATGATACTATAAAATACTATGCTCTCAAACATTTTGTAAAACATGACCATTCTTGACGTGTTCTTAAAGAATATCATAAAGAAATGTTGGAAAGAAAGAAAAAAATAATAATATAAACAACATAGTCTTTAAACCTAATGAAGAGGGGCTGATGAGATAGTTCAGTAGGCAAAGGTGCTTGCTGCTATGCCTGATGACCTGAATTTAATCCCTGGGACCCTCACTTTGTCTTCTGACAACCACATGTATACCTTGGCACACCCACCACTCCTTACCCCAATAAACAAACAAACAAACAAATATTTCTTTAAAAAAAAAAAAACGTACTGAAGAGGAATGACTTCAGGTAACCACCCAGTAAGTGCATGGATAATGGTGAATTCTCCCAGCTCTCGCCTCTGTGACATATGGATGCTGAAAAGAAATGCATGGTGCTGTAGTTAACAATGATTGGAAACACATAACAGTAAATAAAGACTAGGAAACACTCTACATAGCATCATAGTAATCAGTGTAGGGGGTCATACCGGCTGCACATCCCAGTGTGAAGGAATGTTATCTCACAAACCAGATGCTTTTAATTTGTTAAAAAGGCCTGAGTAAACCCAATACTAAGCTTTCAAATGTATTTTGAAAACATGAATATGTTATTTTTGTTGTTTTCTTTTGATAAGGGTATCACATATTAGGAACTATTCCTTTAAAAGTTCTAAAATTTCCATTTATTTCCTGAACATAAAACATATTCATATTATATAGTATAAACATTTAACTCATTTGTATATTCTATGTGTGACTTTGTTTTCTTCAAAGTGGAGTGGTTTTACCATTCTAATTGCAGAGATTATGTTGAAATGCCCATGATGACTCAAGAGAAGTATGAGGAATCCTTAGTGAAACTTTGACAGTGGAGGAGAAAACAGAAATATGTCATCCATCCTGTAAATGAGTAGATTTGGCAGTGTGACATAAAGTCAGAGGTTGCCTTTACCCAGACACGATGCTCTGCTTTGGTCCTTCTGCCTATGTGTGCTTTCCTTGGGTGGTTAATGTGTTTGCATGTACCTTAGTCAACGTAGAGAAATATCACGGCCACTTCCACCCCAGAGTGAAGGTACAATGTACCCTGTGCCAGGCATGGTGCTAATGATGCTGACTGACAAACACACATCCTTCTCTTTGGAAAGAATTCACAGCATGTCAGTAATGTAGCCCACTGTTCATGGTTTTGCACTGGCTTGTTTAATGGATTATGAATCCTGATGTCTCTGCATTTCTCAAAGACAACATAAATCTGGTGTGTGGTTCACTGTCTCCCCTAAACACCTCTGGTAATTTCATTTTATGAGTGACTTTGCAAGCCTTATGGAAACGATGCTCTTTTCTCTCCCTATTCTACCTGGGTATATAAATCATTACAATGCTTTAGGTATGTTTGTAGAAAACTAAACCTCACATGTAAAGTCAAATCTGAGATGAATTTATAGAAAAATATAAATGACATCATGTAAGGCAGTTTCTACTAGAGAGCTTTAAAAATGTACTGTACTTTAACTAGTCTTTTATTTCCAAGCTAGCTTTGTTTCTTTATTTTAAAAGAATAACACTATTAGTCGTGTTCTTAATGAATTCCATTCGACTATGGCTTTACAACAAATGAAATGTTGTTGCAGCTATCTGGGCCATCTATTCAATGCTTCGCCAGCCTTGCAGCTCCAATTCTTAGGAACACTAAGAGCATTATCCATATTTTCCCCCAAACACACAGACATAACTGCCACCAGTGGAAATACTTAGTAATATTTACCTGCCTAAAAGAAAAAATAATAATCTGGGCGAAGTTTTAGAAAAACCATTGAAATGTAGGACTGAAAGCGGAATGAAACGAACTATCAGTAGAAACTGAGGTTTAACAAGAAAAAATGAAGAGACTGATAACAGTGGTGGCTGTTTTGTTATGCAGCCTTGAGAGACAAAAGGAAGCAGAGTCAAAAGGGTATCTACAAAAGCAGCCCTGACATCTGAACCATATTGCTAATGCTTCTTAGAGAAGGGGAGGGGTTGAGCTTTGAGCACAGGGCTGACAGGGTCTGCTAAGCCTGAGCATGAGTTCTGTGGAGGATGGAGTTGCTATGGCACACTGCAGGGGGCTACTGGGATCAGGCTCCTGCAGTGTGAGTGAGGACACATCCACTGAGCTGTACAGTGGCCAAGCACATCCACTCCAGGGTCTGAGCCTTGTTTTCACGGTGAGTTATCCTGAAAGGACCAGAATGGAAGAAAGGCTTGTCTAGAAGACATGGCAGACTTGTACGTGGAGTGCAAAATCTTGTTGGTAGATAAATATAAACAGATTTTGCAAACATACTGAAACAAATGAGTAGATTTCAGGATGATGCTATCAGGTAGTCAATGGGAGCAAAGGCCTTAAGAGCTTAAGAGCTTAAGAGCAAAGGCCTTAAGGGCTCAGGATTTCTTAAGGTCTATATAGCATACCACATATACAGATTCTAAAGCATTAATTGGATCTTAGTATATATTATTCATCGTTTAGGTGATTTAATATATTCCCCTAAGAAACAATTTCTCTCATTAACATGAAACATTTCCCATGATATACTTTCCACTTCTAGTAAGAAATCATTGCGTAAAGAATGATTTTTGAGTGTTCTTTCTTTGCATAGTTTTGTCTTTTACCCAGTTAAGCCAATACTTCAAACCAGTGCACTGGGCACCTCAACTTTTATATTTGAAAGTTTACACTGTTGAGAAGAAAAAAGTCTTTAAATTGTTAAAGGCTTAGCATGGATGCAGGTGCCCTTTTGTTTTCACACAAATACATTATAATTTCTCATTACATACTCAACATTTGCCAGCTTAATGATAGCTTTAGACAGTAGCATTGGCCAGAGTTCAAACGTATAGGTTGTAGATGGAAGCAACAGATTGTTATCCTCATCAAAGGGAAAAAAGTCATCAATAGTTATCTTCCTCCAGCAACCCTAAAGATGAGAAGAAAGCCATGTGATATCATCAGTGGTGTACAATGCTCTCCCCCTTGAACATTACTACATATTTCTCTTTACTTTTGTTAACAAATAAACAAAAACCTGGTGTTAACATCTTATGTTAGAACGCTGAGATACAGGATTCAGAACTAATTTGGCTGACCATTTGAGCTTCTGAAATGTATTATAGCATATCTATAGTGATATCGATATTTTTCCTTCTTTTGGAGGTTTTATGTGCTGTGGCTATCTGTATGCTGTGAATGTGTTGCTCTGATTGGTTAATAAATAAAGTGCTGATTGGCCAGTAGCCAGGCAGGAAGTATAGGTGGGACAAAGAGAGAGGAGAATTCTGGGAACAGGAAGGCTGAGTCAGGAGACGCTGCCAGCTGCCGCCACCATGAGAAGCAAGATGTGAAGGCAGAACTGGGAAAAGGTACCAAGCCATGTGGCTAAACATAAATAAGAATTATGGGTTAATTTAAGTGTAAGAGCTAGTCAATATTTAGCTTTAGCTAATGGCCAAACAGTTTTAATTAATATAAGCCTCTGTATGTTTACTTGGGTCTGTGGGCCCCTAGAGGGACTGGAGATAACTCCAGCTACACTTATGAACATTTAATGAAGTAAAAATGTTTCAAATAGAAGAATGAAAACATGATTCAACCAAAAATAAGGCTGAGCATAATATACTTTGCACAGTTATCATATAAATTCTTTAAATATTACCTTAGTAATTACTACTTATTCAGACATGTGCTTACTAATCTTAGACTCCAGTTCAATATTTTGAGTACTCTCAGTTAATAATCTAATTTTCAACATGAAATAAATTAATATTTTCTTTAACCAAACTATTGTATGTTTAATTAAAAGCTCTTCATTTCAGAATTAAAAGCATGAAGCAAATGATCTTATGATTTTTTTGTTTTAGCTTATATGCCTAGATTCTTACAAAGTCACTCTTGTGTTAATAAATATTTTTAGTAGTAACATCAAGCATTGTGAGCCCCATAATATTCATGATGCATGGCTAGGGCTACTGCCATTAAATACTTATGGTCTAGTGGGTAAAGGCTTACATATAAACAATATAAAACATAGTATTTCAAAACATTCCAGGGCCAGAGGAAAAATGCAACTCATTTTGCTAGAGGCAAGTCATGAGAAAGTGACATTTGAAATATTTTCCTTGTATGGTGTTCATAACCCTGAATCCAATATTACCTTATTTAGTAGCTTGTACCTGTCCGTTTAACCTCAATTGACGAAGCAAGGCAGGATAGAGTTAAAGTTATAGGTTAAAGGCAGCCCCATTCTTGCAACTTTAAGTGAAATAACAGCAACAATAAACTCACGGAGAAATAAGGTAAATATAAGATGATAAGTGTTTCACTCACTTAAGTACCTTTAAAAAGGCAGGCTCACTGTGATGGTTAATTTTAACTGTCAAATTAACACAAGCTAGAGTTACCTGGAAAGAGGGTCTCAGTGAGGGATTGTGTAGATCAGACTAGCCGGTAAGGAACATTTGCTTAATTGGGTTGACTGAAGTGGAAATATCCAGTCTGAAAGTGGGCAGTACCATTCCCTGGTTTGGACCCCCGACTAGGAATAGAGAAAGCTAGCTGATCATGAAGCCTGTATGCATTTCTTCCTTTCAGCTCTTGGCTATGGATGTGATGTAACTAGCTGGTTGGGCTCCTGCCTCGGCTTCCCTGCAATGACAAACTATAATCCGTAATAACTGTAAAGGCAAACAAACCCTTTCTCCCTTATGTGGCTTTCTGCCAAAATAATTTATTATAAAAATAGGAATGAAAATTAGGACACTCATGGAGATAGAAAGTGGTCAACCAAGGGGCAAGTGAAGTCTTGATTTGGTGAGTACAAAGTCCCTGCTTCAGATGAAGGGGAAATTAAGGAAATAAGTAGTGACAGTTTTCACAAACTATAAAAATAACAAATGTAACATAATTTTACACTTAAATGGTTAAAATGGTTGTCAAATTGGCATATTTTGCCACAATAAAAAAATAGCAGTGATAGGTCCCCTCTCACATTTTGACTGCAAACTGTGTTTTGAAGTGGTCAACTGGATTCACATGAAAGAAGAATTTTAAACTATCCTCAATAATTATACTAAAGCAATTCAACAAATACCCTCTCTTGTCAGATGCTCAAAGATATTTTTCAACGAAGAATGCTTTGATTATTGAACTGTGCACATTACATTGTATGCAATTATATTTCAAAGTCTATTACATGAAAAGTCTATTATAACACAGGGGTGAACACAGTATTGTGTATATTTCTAAAGTATATTTTGACTAGACTTCTTGCTATCCTCTTCGAAATATTTTGATTCATTGGTATTATATTTTGGTTGACCCCTTCCTCAAATATTTCATGTAGTGGACAGCTGCTCTGTCTATGACCTTGTAGCATCACCCCTAGGTAACTGCTCTCTACCTGTCTATGACCTTGAAGTACATGTGCCAGGGGCATGGCCTCTTGGTACCCTTAAGATCTGAGATGCACATAAGCAGGCTCTCTTCGTTCCCTCATGGGACTTGGATGGTAGGACAGTCTCAGGCACAGAACAACATGGGACCTAGCCTCACCTTTTCCAGGACCCTGCAATAATTCTGTTTTGTACAGTGAGTTTTTCTCACCTAATGAATTCCTTTGTCCTTTAAACAGACACTATGGATTTCTCAGATTAATTTCATGTATTTGTGTATACATGGGTAATTTATATAGATAATTATTTTGTCTTCAAAAATCACGTTGAAAATTTAACAGACAATACATTGGTACTAGGAGGTAAGGAATAAGGATGGGTGGGGAATGATTTATGAAAATACTTATATCCTTATAAATGGATAAAGATTTGAGTTCTTGCCGGGCGGTGGTGGCGCACGCCTTTAATCCCAGCACTCGGGAGGCAGAGGCAGGCGGATCTCTGTGAGTTTGAGGCCAGCCTGGTCTCCAAAGCGAGTTCTAGGAAAGGCACAAAGCTACACAGAGAAACCCTGTCTCAAAAAACAAAACAAAACAAAACAAAACAAAAAGATTTGAGTTCTCTCTTGTCATATGAGGTTATACAATCAGCTGGTTACTTGGATTTCCTTCAATTTCTGTTGATGGGAAGTTACATAGTATACTGTATTTTATTATCAAAGTTTAAGTGAATATATGTATGTGTATATAAGATTTAAGAACTCATCATTGAACACTGAATGATTTTTTGATTTGGTATTTTACTATTTTATGTAAATCATATAATGGCTATTTGAAAATGTTTATTAGCACCATGTTATTTCTTTAAAAAAATCTCAAATTTTTTAGTTTTTAAAGATGCTTCTAAAGAAGTATCCTCTGTGATCATTAACCTTCATTGTCAACACATTTAGGCCTAGAATCACCTAGGAGATTAGTTAGACACACATATGAGGGTGTTAAAGAGGTTGTTTCCAAAGAAGATTAATGACAAGACCCACCCTCTATGTAGGCAGCACTAAATGGGAGGTCTGGGTGGCATCCAAGAGGGAGAAGGTAGAAGCCAACCAAAGGCAGCATTTCTTTCCCTGCTTACTGGCCCATCATGGCGTGATTTGCTTGGCTCCACCACACCCTCCCACCAGCGGGCTGAGCACTCTGAAACGGTGACCTAAAGTAAAGCTTTACTCTTGTAATCACTTCCGTCAGGTATTTCTCTTGGTGTGATGCAAAAAAAAAAAAAAAAAAAGCAATATGGATTTATAAATATAAATTACCGGAATAAATAAAACTACAAATATGAATTATGAAAGTATTTTAGTATATTATCACATTCAAATTTTAATATTTTCCACAATTAACTTCTATGTGAATGACTATCCATTTATGCTGTCTTCCTTCTATTAGCATGATGAAAGCATAACACATTATTTAAATTAATAGTATGAATTACAACTCAAAAAAATCAAGAAATAAATAATCATTGGAAAGATATTTCAGCAAACAGTTGAGTGATCAAAACTGCATAGACTAGGCTCAATCAGACTTTACCCTGCACCTCCACGGCAGTAACAGAGTGACTTTTCTCCCATGCAGAGCCTGAGATGTCAATATAGACCAGTAGATACACTCACAGAATACAGAAAGTGAAATCATTAAATAAGAAACTTAAAGCAACAATCCTAATAATGTCCCACCAAATAATTGTGAAAACTCTTAAATGAAATTCTTAACAAAGATGTAGAAAGTATAAAATATTAAATTAAAATTAAAGACTCCTCCCTCAGTGAGAGCAATAGTCCATAGGTGGCATAGAGGTTGCTAAAGTGAACATTAAAGTTGCAGAAATGAACAGGGAAAAATAGACCAAGAATGACATAAGACTCAGACTTGAGAGATGACACAAAAATATTCAATATCCATGTTTTGAAGTCACAAAAAGAAAAGAGAGGAAAAAGAATGAGGACCTAAAAATACATTTGAAGAAATTATGGCTGAAACTTCCCAAATTTTTTCTAAAATATAAACCTGTGAATTAAAGAAGCCTACAGTAACCCAAACAGGATAAATACAAGTAAGTCTACAGCCAGTTCTATCAAGCTCAAACCTCTGAAAAGTGAAAAGAGAGGATACAATCTGGAAAGCCTAAAGCAAGAACAGACAGTTTGTCCAGGGGCTGAGCAGAGTGGAAGACACAGTAAGCACCATCTCTCACTCGCTGGAAGGAAAGAGCTGTCAACTTAAGCCCTGGTACCAAGGTCAACATCTTTAATGAATAAGAATGAAGTAAAAACATCCTCAGATATAAAGAAAACAAGGCAGTTTCTTACCAAGAGACTAACTCAGAAACACTGAAAGGAGAGGGTTCTCCAGGAAGGAAAATGGAGTGAAAGGAATGAGTACAATAACATGAAGAAAGCTAACGGAAAAGAACTAACACCTAGGCAAGATGAAGGAGTATTTTTCTCTGGATCTTTTAAAATTGTATTTATGATGGGGTCTGGAGAGAGAAAGTTAAATCCCTTGCTACTCAATTCTGTCCTTAGCACCTACACCAGGCAACTGACAACAGCCTATAAATCCAGCTCCAAAATGTCTTAACGCCCTCTTCTGGCCTCCTTTGGCACATGCATGCACATGCACATACACACAGAGAGACACAAACATAACTAAAAATAAAATAAATCTTTAAGAATTGTATGATGAAGTTCTTAAGATATTCAGAAAATATTTAAGAAAATGATGGCAGAAAGGGGAGATTTGTGAAGGTTCTAAAATGGTGGCAAGGTATTTAGGGGCCAATTCAAGTGATAAAATGTTGCTATTAAGGGCTATGTAAAGCTTTCTGTGTATATTTTAATTTCTGGAAAAATAAATATACAGAGTATATGCAAAAAATAAAGGTAGAAAAACTGAAACAGAATCCTAAAAAACAACCAAGATCAATATAGAAAGTCAGAATAGGTAAGCAAATTTCAAAATAAGAATGGTAAAAAAGAATAAAATTACAAATTAATTTGTAATTCTATCTAGTATAAATGACTTTTAAACCCAAAATGAGTAATTTGAATATACTTATAAAAATGAATATTTTCATATTCATAATGGAGTAATTTCACAGAGAAAAAACACCATCCCACTGGGCAAGATTTACACACAAAGCTTCTCATGTGCAGCCTTATTTGTATAGGTAAAATGCTGGACATAGCCTTAGCATTTATTAATGGAAATTTAACATAAATTTGCATGCATTTGTTTATATGTCCACAGACTAATGGACAGAATATACAAAAATATCAGCATAGAAAATGCCCCTGGTTAAATATGTGTGGCTTATAGAACAGTATGTTTATGTATGCTTATAAGAACACAGGATGGGATGGAGAGATGGCTCAGAGTTTAAGAGCACTGGCTGCTCTTCCAGAGGTCCTGAATTCATTTCCCAGGAACCACATGGCAGCTCACAACCATCTACAGTGAGATCTGGTGCCCTCTCTTGGTGTGCACACCTACATGTAGGCAGAACACTATATACATAATAAATAAATCTTTAAAAAAGAAAGAACATAGGAAAGTATAGTAGAAATAACTGAATCATTCATTGATTGTGATTGTCTAAATATGTTAATATTACAAAGAACTCTAATTTTATATATTGAATATTGTGATGATATTTTGGTTGGACTCTAACAAATAAAATTTTCCTGAAGATCAGACGACAGAGCCAGCCACTAGATTAGACATCGAAGCCAGGCAGTGGTGACACACATCTGTAATCCCAGCACTTGGGATCTCATGCCTTTGCTCCCAGTATTTGGGAAGCACACATGTCATAATCCCAGGTCTAGAAAGGTTGAGACAGGAAGTTATAAGGCTGGTTGGAGAAAGGCATATAAGGCAGGAGTGTAAGAATTATGTCCTTATTACGTCACCAGCCTGCAATGGAGTCCCAGCCTAAAAAGCGGGCATGCCCTCTGTGCTCCCTCTTTCCATATTCTCTCTCTCCCCGCATTCCCTCTGTCCTCTGCATGGTTCTCTCTCTGTGTGTTTCTCTCTCTGTGTGTTTCTCTCTCTGTGTGTTTCTCTCTCTGTGTGTTTCTCTCTGTCTCTCTCTCTCTCTCTCTCTCTCTCTCTCTCTTGATTCTTCTGCCACCACAACATCCAGTGTTCTCTTCCGTCAGCATGGCCACTGCAGGCAGCTGCCAGCCATGAGCACTGCCGTGTAACCGACAAGGAGAAGACAAGAACTCAGTCCCTTTAGGCTGAGGACTCAGGGGCATTCAGTCTGAGGATTCATGGAGACAGGATCTTCCCCTTTCGCCTGAGGAAGTGGTGAGGTGAGGTTGGCTGTGGCTTGTTTACTCTGATCTTTCAGCATTTATCCCAATATCTGGCTCCAGGTTTTTATTATAAGACCAATTAGGATTTGTGCAACAGAATATGTTAGTAGTATTTGAATTTGCCCACTAAAAGCATATATAATAACAATAAAATTTAAATGTAGAATTTATTTGGGGGGATATAGTAACTGAGTAATAGAAAAAGCATTTGTCGGCCGGGCGGTGGTGGCGCACGCCTTTAATCCCAGCACTTGGGAGGCAGAGCCAGGTGGATCTCTCTGAGTTCGAGGCCAGCCTGGACTACCAAG